AAAAAAAAAAAAAAAAAAAAAAAAAAAAACAAGTAATTATAATACTGGGGCCTAATTTCTATGGCAAAAGGAATTATAGGGTACTAAAGGATAAGACAGAAACGCCATGCTGGGGAGTCAGAGATTTCCTAGAGGAGATAATGTTTGAAATAAATTTTAACAAAAGTGAAATCCAGTATCCATTCATATGTTTAAACTTAAGATAATTCAATTTATCAGTATTTATGAAGATCCAATTTTACAACTTACCAATATTAGCCTCAAGTTGCTGGAGTAGGTCCAAGTTATGTGAACAAAATTCTGGAGTGATGTATACAATCCGATATTTGCCTCTGTAAAAACAAACAAAAAAAAGAAACAGTAAAGGAAACATGCTACAACAACAAAACCAATCAGCTCAATGAATTACAATTTAAAATCAAAACACCTAATAAATTTTTAAATAATATATTATGCTACTTAAGAAAAACTAAATGAAAGTAATATATGTGTGTATATATTCACATATATTAGTTCTTTGATTTCTCTTCAATGCATCAAAATAAAAAGTGGCAATACCCATCAAGGAGTATTTAGCTCTAAGATGACATTAGAAGCCAGGTTCTGATTTCCAGCAGTCTATTCCCAAAACTAAAGTGCATGAATTAAATGACTGAGTTTACAATAAACCTCTCACAGTGTTATCAGTCCACCTACATACCACCCACCCTTCTTTGAGAACTACAACCCACTATCCCCACTCTCCCATGATTAATCCCTCAGTATCCATGGTTATTCTAGGTATTCTGTTCTCTTGCCTAAAACTTGTTAGGCCAAGGACAGACACTATGTCAAAGACAAGCCCACTAGTCTCTGTCCTAGAATCTGGAGATCTGATCAAGAAACAATAGTAAGTCTCTGCAAGTGGCAAGACCTGCAAAATGTAAAAAAAAAAGAAGTTGTGGAGCAGCCATCTTCTATTTCGTGACTAGAAAAGCAGAGAATGTTTATTTCTTCAGAAAGTAAAATGAGGAAGATACATAGAGTCCACAGATAAAAAGAAAGCCTTACTGTATTTTCCATACACAATTCCAGTCTCTTCTTAAGGGCTAGCTAACTTCTTTTCAGTGGGATCCATGAGACATTCCTTTATCCTGAATATAAAATTCAATATTTGCTTAAGCTGGCTTGAGTTTAATTTTTATTCTGGGCAGACAGAATCCTAATTAAGAAAACGTCTGTAATAAACGCTAGGTCTAGGACAAAATGTTTATAGAGTCTGTTCTCCATTCTACCAAAAGAAGACATATATCAAGTTTAATGAAATGAAACTTAATTTTCTATATGAAAAGACTTTAAAATATTTAATCCATTAATTTAACAAATATTTGCATGTCTATTGTGTGCTAGACGTTGTGCTTTCACTAGGAATCAATTAGGAACAAAACAGATGTGACTTTACCTTCATGAAATTAATACAGTATTCTGATTAACACAGGATATACTATAAATAATAAGCTCTGATGTCAGACTGCCCAAGTTTGAATCTCAGTTCTACTTCTTGCAAGCTAAGTGATCTTGGGCAAGTTATTTAATTTTGGTGTGTCCCACTTTCTTGAGTGTAAAACAGCAATAGTAATTATCAAGACCCCTAATTCTTTAGATACTTAGATTCGAGGTAAACCCAATCAAAATCCCAGCACACACTTCGGTTGAAAAGGTGGTGCTGAAATACTTACAGAAGTACAAAGAACCTAGAATAGCCAAAACAACTACAAAAGAAAATAATAAAACTAGAGGACTTGTCCTACCTGATTTAAAGGCTTACTATAAAGCTATAATAATCAAGACACCAATCAAGACAGACAAACAGATCCCCAGAACAGAGTAACAGAGAGTGCAGCAAAAGACCCACATATACATAGTCAATTTATTTTTGAGAAAGGTACAAGGCATATCAGTGGAAAAAGGATAGTCTTTCCAACAAATGGAGCTAGGACAATTGCATATCCTTATATAAAAAATAAATAAACTGCAACAAATACCTCATACAATATACAAAATTTACTAAAATGGATCATAGATCTGAATGTAAAACTTAAAACTATAAAACTTTTAGAAGGAAACATAAAAAAAAATCTTTGTGAGTTTGGGTTAGGCAAAGATTTCTTAAACACCAAAAGCAAAATCCATAAAATAACAAACTGTACTTTATCAAAATGAAAAACTGCTGCTCTTCAAGAGAACTGTGAAGAGAATGAAGAGAGAAGCCATAAACTAGGAGAAAATGTTTGCAAAGCATAGATCAAATAAAAGATTTGTACTCAGAATATATAAATGACTATCAAAACTCATGAGGAAAAAAACCAATAAAGAATGGGCAAAAGATTTGAATAGACATTACCTCAAAGGAGATATACAGATGGTCAAAAAGTGTATAAAAAGATGCTGAACATAATTAGTGAAAAGCATATTAAAAATACAATGAGATCCTATTAGAATGGCAAAATTAAAGACTGGCCATACTAAGTGATGGCAGAGATGGGGAGAAACTGGATCTCTCATATATTGCTGGTGGGAATGTAAACACTGCAACCACTCTCAAAAGGTTTGACAATTTCTTAAAAAGTTAAACAGAATTACCACATGACCTAGCAATTCCATTCCTATGCATATACATAGGAGAAGTAAAAACACATTTATACAAAAACCTGTACTCTAATATTCAAGCACCATTATTCATAACAGCCAAAAAGTGGAAACAACCCAAATGTCCATCACTGATGAATGGATAAACAAAATGTGGTAGCCCATACAATGGAATATTATTCAGACATAAAAAGAAATGAAGTAATAAAAACATTATCCTAAGTAAAAGAAGCCAGACATAAAAGGCCACATATTGTATGAGTTCAGTTCTGTAAAATGTCCGGAATAGGAAAAATTATAAACACAGAAAATAGATTAGTGGTTGGAAAGGGGTAGAAAAGGAGGCAATAGAGAGTGACTGTTTAATGGCTATGGGAGTTTTTGAAGGGATGATGAAAATGTTCTGGAATTAGTGGTGATGGTTACACAACATTATTAATAAACTAAAAGCCACTGGACATTAGTAATGGTTAAAATGGTAAACGTTATGTGAATTTTATGTCAATTAGAAAAAAGAAAGTTAGACATATATCCACCACATGATCCAGTCATTCCAGTCCTTGGTATGCACTAATGAAATGAAAATGTTATGTCCATACAAAGACTTCTACATAAATGTTAATAGCAGCTTTATTTGTAATAGCCCAAAACTAAAAACAATTCAAATGTCTATCACCAGCGAATGGAAGAACAAATTGCAGCATATCCATATAATATAATCTACTCAACAATAAAAGGAATGAACTATTAATAAATGTAATAACACGGATGTATCTCAAAATAATTATGATGCATTATTTAAACCAGAACAAAAATGGCACATAATTTAAGATTGACTCTGTTTATATATCATTTTAGAAAATGCAAACTAATCTACAGTAATAGAAAGCAGACCAGGAGTTATCTGGTGACTGGGGTGGGGAAGGCAGGAAAAGGCAGAGGAATGGATTAAGAAAAGTATGAGTAAACTTTGGGAGTGATAGATATGTTCATTATCTGGGTTGTGGTGATGGTTTTGTGGGCACATGCTATGTCAAAATTTATAAAATTACACATTTTCAGCACATAAAATTTATTGTATGTTAATGACACCTCAATAAAGGAGATTAAAATATTTAAAAAAGAAGAAAATATATGTTCACAAAAAGACTTTTACAGTAATGTTAACAGCAGCTTTATTAGTAATAGCCCCAAACTAGAAATAGCCCAGGCATCTATCAATAAGGAAATGTAAAAACTGTGGTATATTCATACAGTGAAATACCACTCAGATATTTTTTTTAAAAAACTGATACATGCAACAACTTGGAAGAATCTCAAAAACTTATGCTGAATGAAAGAAATCTTACACAAAAGAGTACATGTTGTGGGATTCCATTTATATGAAATTTCAGAACAGACTAAACTAACTGAAAAACCTGGAGCAGTGGTTTTCCTCAGGATGGAAGATGAAAGGATAGACTAGGAAGAAACATGAAGGAACTTCCTTCTTTTTTTTTTTTTTTTTTTTTGGTGGCTGACCAGTACAGGGATCAAACCCTGGACCTTGGTGTTAGGAATTTTCTAGAGTGACATATTCTGCATCATGGTAATGGTTTGGGTTACGTATTTGTATGCACTTACTAAAACTCAGTAAATGCGTGTGTGTATTGCATATGTGTATTAATATATATGTATTTATATTTATACACACACACACATTTTTGTGTGTATCCAAGACGATCTTCTTCTTAGGAATTATATCATGACAGAATTGGTGAGACAAGGGACCTAGAATTCAGTCCCTGCTCAGGCACAAATTCATTGAGTGACTTTGGGCAAATTATTTGTCTCCGGGCCTCAGTTTTCTCATTTGAAAAGTGAGACAAATCTAAATACTCTCCAAGTTCTTTTCTAAAACCAAACTTTTATAATTCTATGACTACAATGCTAATCTTACAGCCCCCAAATTAAAAATAATTGTTTGAAAGATTTTAAAATTAACAGTTCTGTAAATGTACCATAAAAAGAAAGTGGCTTTTTGAATCATGGACATTTTGTTCACATTAAATAAAAATTTTTTGAGTACAAAATTCTCTCACATACCATAGACACCTGACCACATGATCAGAAATCGTATAAATTACTCACAATCTAATATCCTCTAGAACAACTTTTGACTGTGCTGATCCAAGGAAACAAGCTGGAATGTTGGACATTCTGTAAGAAGAAAAAAAATATTCTAGAGCCTCGTACAAACACTACAAACATCAACTTCATTCTTAAGAAAAAATAAAGAAGGATAATAACACGTATTCCTCTTGGCAATCTTCTCTCCTTTGTAACTCACTAATGTGATAACAAATTCCCTGAAGGGCCATATCAAAAGGCAGCTTTTTAAGGTGGGTCTTTTAAAAAGACTGCAAGCTCAGGTTGAAGAAGTTAAAAAAAAAAAAAAAAGATTCTCTCAGCTTTACTATATCTTGCAAAATTTCCTTAATAAAATGCCAAGGAAGAAATCAACTGGAGAAGTGGTCTTCTGATGTGCTGATAATGACCTGTATTCTTATCTAAGTGCTGGTTACACGGGGTGCTCAGTTTATGAAAATTCATTGATCTGCACACCTATTTGCACTTTTCCATATGTAGGACACACTTAAATAAAAAATGTTTAAGATCAAAAGAAAAAAGGAAAGAAATGCTTTGGTGAATTATATTCCAAATTTTCGGAATAAAAAAAAAAAAAATCCAGTCGAGATTTTTTACTTTCTTACTAGTTTTATTCAAATTTACTTATTCCTCATCTCACTTTTATTCATCTCATTTTCATACTTATAAATTTGAGTATGTTACAATAGGTAAGATTATCACTGTTCTTCAAACGCACTTTTACTACATCAGGCATGCTTTCGACAATACAATGCACAAAACAGGCACACAGATACTTATTTAATGAAAAACAAGTCAGCATTAAATTAAAATTTATTAATATCTTTAAACTAGTTTCTACACAGAATCACTCAAAGGAAAACCATTCTTTCTCACTTATAAAAACAATCTGCAGAAATAAATTTTGCATAAATATTACTTTGAAATAATTCTGTAATCACTTCTAGGAAACATAGTGTGGCATGTGTAACTATAATGAAGTTGTGCTGCTACTGCTAAATGGATCGATTATTTGTTTTCTCTTTGTGAAGAAAATACAAAATACATTATTTAATTTACTGAGATTATACTCACGGTTTAAAACTGGAATGGCCAAAGTAAGTCTTAAGGCAAATAATTTGCTTTTCATTGGGTCCTGGCAACGAACAGTCTGAAGATAAAATAGAATGGGCATTTATGTTCAAATAGAAATACACTAGATTAAAGGGGGGAAAAGCTTACTTCATTGGCTTCTTTTAAAGAATATAGTGATAGGTGCCATAGGTTACTGCTTTCTGTCTTTTAATCCCAATCCAGTTTAGTCCTCTGGGTACCAGCCATGACTCCACTAAACACTTTATTACTAAGTGTTATAATTTTGTTGTTGTTCACACTTTGCCAACACTGTAAAAAACTGATGTTTTGGAAGGAGCTATACTTCTAAAATCTAACAGTTAGAAAGAAGCATGGAAAACAATATACCAGTCCAAATTTTATAGTATAACCAATGTTCAATTAATGGTAATCAGAAATTACATTAGTGTCACAAATAAAGCCCACAGATAAAATAAAATGCACAGCACAGTGGAGTTATATCAACTCTACCCAAATGACTTTCACTGTCCACTCTTAGGTTGGAGATTCATGTGCAACCAAGAAAGGGCAAAGAAAGAATCAAAATAATTTATCGCTAATTAAACAAAAGTTCATTATTATACTTTTCAATTTAACAATTCTAAATAGAAAACTAAACTGATTTGGAGAAATTTTGTTTGTATTTAATACAAAAACAAAGGGAAAAACACTTTATCAACATATGCATATACACTTTCCATCTATAAAATTTTTTAAATTTCCACATTATGTCATTGATGAAGTCTAGCTCTAGTAAGATTTCTACTTTACGAGAAGACCCCATAATTTGCCACAATTACATTTAGACTTAATTAATAGAAGGCTCATTTAATAGATTCTTTACTATAGTTAACATAGTCTAAAAACTTGTCCATTTTGCTGTTTTTTATTGTGTAATTTATTTTAAATAATAAGCTCCTAAAGTGTAGACATTATGTATCTTTGTCACTTACAATAATGTTTAATATAAGTAATTAGTATATGATTTTATGACTGCCATTAAGACACAAACAAAAATATAAAAGTCAGGATGAAAAGTTTCGCATCACCACATTTACCTAATAACACATTTATTACTCTATTTTTATAAATAGTAAGAGTGTGCTTTATGCAGAAAAAAGCAAAGGAATTTAATGGTATGTTTATAGACGTAATAATTAACTATATGTCACAAGTCCCTGACCCGCAAAACATTTAAAATCTAAATCCTAAATTAAAGTCACTGGTAGGTATCGGAGGTGAGTCATTTCAAACGTATTTTAGTGCTTACCCTCATCTTCTTCCTCCTCAACAGCTTTATGGTCATCTTCATCTTCTTCAGCAGGAAGACCCAGATTTCTTTCCATTTCTAAGCATTTGGAATGAATTGGTTCTACCATGCCACTATTTAGGTTTTCTAAAGACTGAAAGTATGAAAGAAAATTTAAAAGCAAAACCACTGACAGTGTTCTTTTTCATCAAACACAAAAGGAGTATTATTAACAGCGCCTACAATTTTATTCAAAGCTGGCAGATGTGCAAGCAATACTACAAAAGAACATGTGTGCTCCAGTTTAAATATGTGCTCAAGAATGGTTTCTAAGGCACCAGGCCAAAGATGGAATACTTTCAGCACAAACAAGGTTCATTAATATCATACAAGGAACTGACCCTGGGGAACGCTTCCACAAATTTTGAATTTGGGTAATTTGAAACATTTTTTCTTTATTGTACTTCAATGTTTTCAAATCCCAACCAGTAAATGTAGATTTTAATATTATTTTTGTAATGAGTTTCTCTACCTCATACGTCAGTCACATTCTTTCTAAGTAAGGACAAGTCTTGAACTATAAGCAAACAATAAGTGTGTTTTTGGAAGAGTCAAAACAAAAAAAAGATTCAAATAATTTTAGGGAAGGAATATTACAAATGTGAAATAAAGTTATTTTTATTTTGGCTTGACAATATCTGATTTTCTCCCCTAACTAAAGATTATCTACATCAAGAATGTAAGACTATTTCAAAACTGTTTCCTCTTTAAATTTTTTTACTAAGAAGTGACAGGAAGACTTTAATAAACCACAGTTCTCATTTTCTCTTTTTATTAAAATTTCCATTTAATATTTTGACTTTACAGATTTAAAAACAGCGTACTCATTTCAGGCCTGAAAGAGGAAAAATATAATTCTGTTTCTGATTTTTTTATTCAAGTCCACAAACAAATTTGGAGAAGCATTTTTGAAATAGGATTCTCTAATATGGACATCCAGGTTGCCTTCTAAGAGATTCAATATACAATATATGTTTGTAGAAGTCCACACGTACACTATAAATCCAACTACTTGAAGAGTACTCCTCAGAGAAATGGTTAATCAATAAAGAAAAATAATTTAGTATTTATGTTCTACTATTATTGTTAGCTAATATTTATTAAATACTTACTATGTACCAGGTTCTGTACTAAGCTCTTCACAAGCATTAATAAATATTTTAATAATTATTTATTATTATTAATAATTATCGATACTGTTAACTAAGTATCAAAGAGGCTAAGAAACTTGCCCAAAGTCACACAACTAATAAATAGAGAAGGTGAGATTCAAATTAACATCTGAATCAGAATCTACATTCTTTTTTTTTTTCCTTCACAGATAAAGGCCAAGCAGAGAAGAACCTACATTCTTTTTTTTTTCCTTTTTTTGTCTTTTTTCGTGACCGGCAATGGGATCGCAACCCTCGGTGTTGCGCCTGCACCTCGCTCAGCCAGTGAGCGGCCGTGTGGGATCCGAACCCTCGGTGGGAGCACCGCCGCGCTTCCCAAGCGGCGCACTGTAGCAGTGCGCCACTGGGCCAGCCCCAGAATCTACATTCTTAATCACTACCACTATCCAGCCTCAAAACTTAAGAATCAGGAAATTAATTTAATAACAAGAAAAATTACATCAGCCTAAAGATGAGGAATAAAAAATATGCACAATGGTGAACTTCTGTGTTTTTCTTCATTTTTTACCTAATTTGGCTAAGGTGGCTTTTCTTTCTTATTGTCCATCTCTGGTTTATAACACCTGACAAAGAAACTGAAGGTTGAGTGCAGGACAGAAAATAAAGTACTATTTTCAGCTTTGATAATAAAATAGAGTATAACTGAACCATTTAAACCATCAGAAAATGATACATAATAATATAAAATATCCATAGTAAATAAACCAAAGAAAGTAAAGAAAATTATTGAATGTATTAAAACAGAACTTCCAAATAAAAGGGGATACACATGGATGGGAAGACGGGGAAACCAATTTTAATGCTGGAGAGCTTAATCACTACCCATATTACAGAGAAAGAGTAAAAGAAAGTGACATAAAAAAGAACATGGGAAATATATTAAAAAGTTAATATAGTACTTCTAAAACATTATTCATAAGTCATATAAAGAAATATGAATAGGAAAACATGAAATCTAATGGTAGCAATTCATTGTGGTGAGACCTGGTTTAGAATTAGGTCATATTTTACTTAATTAAATGTCCTTTGAAAGAACTTGAAGTAACTTTTCCATAACTTTAAACATACCTTAAGCATCTCCATTTCTAAATCTTCATCACTTTCAATTACATAAGATGCATCCTTTTCATTATCCTTGGAAGATAAATGCTTTTAAAAAAAGTATTTCAAACATTAATTTCCAGTATAATTAACACCACATCCTCTTTTCTACAAAATAAAGTTCCTATATAATAGATATCTTTAGACAACTACCTCTTCTGTAATAGATAAATGTATAATATATATTTATATGTTTACATGATAGGTAAAGAGAAAAAAATGGAGGGAGAAATGAACAAAGAAACAAAGAGAAAGAAAGAAATCTATAGTTAGAAAGATAGAGAACAAAGATAAACAGACTTGAGATAAAATCTCCACACTAAAAGATAGTACAAAATAGGAAGTTCAGCTATGGTTAAACAATGTCCATTTGGGTCTCCCAAACTTCCTGAGCACAAGAACCTCTTCACAGTGTTGAAAAATTCTGTACAAAGTCAAGAACAGCAGCTGTTCTTTTATACCCACTGATTTGAAAAAAGATTACAAAAAGATGAAATTATGATACCTTTAAATAAATCCATGTTTTACAAATAGCATCTACATATTTTTTAAAAAGTGTTGGATATGTTATTTACTCAGTCTATCACCAATGTTCGGCTCTGAAGAACCTTTGCAATAATTTGGCAATCCTGAAGAAGCAAGTGCCCAATGGGATGGGAACCCACACAAAAGAAACCCGCAAAAGAAATGTAGAAAAAAGACCCCGAAAAATGCCTAATATTTATATTGAAAGTAAGAAAAGGAAGCATATCCTTAATTAATCTGAAAATTTAAGTTAAAAAAAAAGACTTTAAAATAAGTATTTTATACTAGGAGAGAAAATTTTTTTTACTTTTTAAATGGTGTCTTTACTGAATAAAGGAAACAATGCTAATAATTATAACACGATAAAAATGGTAATAATTGGTATAAAAGATGTCGGTCAAGTCATGAAATCCTGATCATAATTCTATAACATTATATGAAACACATCATTTTAAAGTATATACTTAATAAGAAATTTCTAGAAAATTAAAGGGTACTGCATAGATGTTAGCAAAAAATAATAATCCCAAAGTGGGGACTTATTTTACAATTGGTTGCTATGAAAATATTTTGAAAACAATTTTAAAATAAAATGCATATATATACACTGATAGAAGTGATTACTAATATAGTTAGTTACCAAAACATAGAGAAATTCTCAAATATAGAGATTTTCGTTGTCATTAGAAAATTAAGGGGAAAATATCTTATTAAATGACCTTCAAAATCTTTTTTTTTTTTTTTTTTTTGGCAGCTAGCCAGTATAGGAATCTGAACCCTTGACAGTGGTGTTATAATACCACGCTCTAACCAACTGAGCTAACTGGCCAGCCTCTAATTTTTAAAAAACGTATTACTGTAAAAGGAAATATATAAAATTCCAGAGGAATTTGAGCATTTTAAGTAATTTTTTTAAACTAAAAAAAATGAAAAATTTTTAAAATAATTTAAGAAATTAAGAAAAAAATAACCTAGGCTATTGCCTGTCCAGATGAGAGTGCCAAGCAAAAACACAGTTTATTAGGAACTCTCTTATGCTAGCCAAGTAAAGAAATAATGTATGAGGAAATAAAAACTACTTCCAAAGATCACATTTGGAAGAGTAAATACTAGTAGACATGTAGAAAATCCACAAAAAGCAGAGATATCTATTATATAAAAAGTCTAAGAAATGATAAAATAGCAAATGACAATAAATGTTTATTGACACCATAAAATCTTTTCACTGTACATTGCTGCTTACTGTACTAAGTCAGGAGCAGCACACTATAGCTCACCAGCCAATACAGCTCACTGTCTTTATAGATAAAGTTTTACTGAAACATAGTTAGGCACATTTGTCCATGGCTGCTTTGACATTACAATGGCAGAAGTGAGGAGTCACGACAGAGACTGTACACCCTACAAAGCCTAAATTATTTACTATTCACCCCTTTACAGAAAAAAGCCAGCAATCCCCTACTAATGAATAAAAAAAGTGTTTCATCTTTATTTAGTACCTCAGCAGATTTGTAAGTAACATCACTAAGAGTTTTTTCCTGAGCTTGCTGTTCCAAAATTTGGAGTTCATATTCTGTAATATCTAATGACATCAAACAAATTCTTTCTGCATTTTCTTTCAACTTATTGTCTTCTATTCCATCTTCAAATTCATCTTCTTGTTTCACTTTATTTCCAAGTACATCTTCTCCATCATGTTTAACTAAATTATCAAGTGTTGTGTCTCCTGTCTCATCTTTAACTCCAGTAAAAATTTTATGTTCTCTAGTCCGTTTCTGTTGTACTACACCAGCTGTTGAATCCTCCAATGTCCTCAGTTCTATCTCAGTGTGAGTAGAACCAAATATCATCTTCCTCAGTGAGTACAGATTTTCTGAAATATCCTTCAATAGTATAGAAACCCTGAAAAAAATTTAAGAAAGGTTACTTTAACTTTAATTGCATTAGCTATAGGGAAAAGTTTTAAAGTTTTTTAATAAGTAAAAGCTTTCTAAACTTGTTGCTTTGCCTCCCATGGATTTGTCACCCCTTTTTCCCTGGGTGACGGAGCTGCCAAAGATTACTCAGAGCAGTGAAAAGCCTCAAAAAGGGGTTAATCTCCCATATCCCTCAACAGCGAGGCATTTCTTCCATTTGGGAAATTAACCACGAATTGGGGTTCTCTTCCTGCATTTATTCTCCAGACCAGCAAGTTACAGGAAGAGACATAGGTAGGGTTTTGCTGAGCATGGTTTAACAAGTTTTAACAATAGAAGCTGGTAACATTGCAATTAAGTCGATCCACTAACAAAAGCTTGATCTAGCAAACATTCCTTCTCCCTCCAGCAGCTTTTTAGTAACTTTACATATCAATTAGTAACCTGTCTTTGAACCAGCAGCCTTGCTGTGTTACAATTCTGATCTTACAACACAGACTAAATAGCCTGGGTAAAATTTCCTGTTTTTTGTAAGGTCAATGTTTGAAGCTGCAAGGCTTTGGAAAACCAGGCCCTGTGAAGTGCATATGCTTTTATGAATCCTCTACATGACCTTCATTTAAAGGTTCCATTGCATTAAAGTTGCTGTTAATTCTCTAATGCCCATATATGATTATAACTGGTAGGCTACTCTCTGGCACAGCTAAGCACTTCTGCATCCATTAGCTGACTTGCATGTTTACTAAGAGTCAGTAGTGTTTGGTCCCAAACTTGTTTATGTCAGCTATACTTCATTTGGTAATTAATTTAAGTAAATGTAAAGTAAATCAATGATACATGACCAAAGAAGGGGGGAGGAAAAAAAGAAAAAAAAAACGATCTGATTAAATTCTAAATTGAACACATGGGAAGACCTAGCAAATTTCTTTAAAAAAAAAAAAAGTTGTTTGATAAACTATGGTCAAAGTAACTATAAAAGTTTGGAGGAAGGGCCGGCCCAGTGGCGCACTGCTACAGTGCGCCGCTTGGGAGCGCAGTGGCGCTCCCGCCGAGGGTTCGGATCCCACATACAGACCGGTTCCCGCTCACTGGCTGA